CTTCCTTCAGAGTCAGAGTTACTTTACGGCTGGCGGTATACCGTTGATCAATTCGTCTTAGCTACAAGCCCCTTGGGACTCACGACCAGTGATTTTCTACCACCTGAATACTTGCGATTATAGTCCTTATGTAACATCCTCTCAAACGAGAGGACGGATCTGACGTTTACAATTGCCGCTGGCCCTCGCCAGAGCAGTTAAGGTGATGACACACGGAGCGGTTGTGCCGATATGGGAGGTAGCACTGCACGAGGAACGTACAGTGCTTCTGGTACTGGTTTACTTACAGTGGAGACGGAGAAGACAACATCCAATTGTGAGAGATAGGACTTAAAAAGCTCTATTTTACACTTCATTTAATCAAGCAAGACAAGATGAAGATAAATTCTATAATTTCGTTCGTATGTGGAGCGAATCTTTGGAGCAAGAGCGCGCACGAAGTCTTCAAACCGCTCGCTGCACCACCAGCAGACGACAGGCCGAGTCGGCAAAACCCGCTCCGTGTGTCATCACCCTTATTCTCGGGTCCGAGTCCCACGAGACTCACGACCATATTTTACTGTCTCAGATTCGTGACTCCCCCAACCTGGAGGGCCAGGTCTCCGTATTTAAATCCTGGGATGTAACAGAGTGGCCCTGTTATACCCCCAGGCACTGGGTCCCCTCTTCGAGACTCCCACATTTTCTAAAGAATCGGCTCACAGATGGCGGTGAGTTGTCCTTCTGCCTAACTAATTAACACTATGCAATGAAGGCGTATTGCGGAGTTGATGTATAGCTCCACATTTTCTTCACCCCGGCACTAGTTCCCCCCGGGGAAAGAGCCCCCGGCACCCATTGGGTAGGAGGTTGGGTGGACCCCAGAGCCCGTTTTGATGACGTTGACCCTACTGGGACTCGAACTCCGACACCTCGGTGGTCCAGCCCGTAGCCAGTCGCTATACCGACTGAGCTATCCCGGCTCTTGCATTAGGCAGCGAGGTATGGAAAGGAAGCCAAGATGGCTATGCTACATTCTTGCACCAAATCGTGTGTGTAACATTAAGGTATACAGTTTGTTTCCTCCGCAGTGCAGTGTTTAGGTAGCTTGTTCTTACAGATCTAGCCTAAGTTCAAACATTGGCTAAACATATGGGGAGCAAGCAAAGCTGATCCTTAAAGGATCATGTAACCAAGATAAACGCGGAAAATTAAGCAGATTGTGGTGGGCGGGTTGTGGCTATCTTATGACCTCCCCATCCACCCCTACACTAGCGGTTTTCGTTTTAATGGATACTACAAGCTTGCCTGAACGGGGTGCCGTTTTGTAAAATAGGGGTGTTAACGGGGTTGTCTGTGGTTTACTTCAACCGACGATTCTGAGAAATTTATCACCTCCATCTTCAGGGTCGAGAAATGAGCCAATCAAGTAGCCGGTATGAAGTAGTAGCAAGTAGGAGGTAGTTATCGTGATATCCGCATCAGTAAACATTTACCGGTTTGCATAGGTTTCGTCCAACAAACTCTTCTGAAATGCTAAGTGAAAGTAAGTAAGTAAAGCTATTCCTGTAACAGGCCGTGAAGGCCCATAGGGTTGTGAGACGTCGAGGCTGCCACATTTTCTCTAGACAATCGGCTCACAGATGGCGGTGAAGTTAGCCTTACGCGCCGGCCGTCCCTTAACCCCAAGAATATTCCTGGTAATCATTTATGTTAGAGGCTGAGTCGGCCCCAGGGCCATAGTGCGGCTGGAAGGATTAGGTCAATTGACCTCTTCGGGACTTGAACCCGCGACCTTCTGGCTTGTAGCATAGTGCCTCAACCAATTATGCTATGTTGCCTGGGAAAATGGTTGCAACCCCTAAATCCGCCCTTCGGCCATAAAGTTTAACCATCCCTGTTGTAGAAACTTACTATGAAAGTACTCTGTTCGATTCTCGCCTGGGACTCTGCTTTGACTTTGTTCCTCCTGGTAAATTCTGGGATAGTAACACTACCGAATCCTTCCAGATCTTTGAAGTTCATCATTCTTCTATGCTACCATATAACTGCCTCTGTGTTCTAGTGGTCAGCGTTCCTGGCTACAGATCCAGAGGTCCGGGTTCGAATCCCGGCACTGCCAGATATTTCTCTGAGAAGTAGTGCGTCTGGAACGGTGTCCACTCAGCCTCATGATGATAATTGAGGAGCTATTTCAAGGAAATAGCGGCTCCGGTCTAGAAAACCGAAATTAACGGCCGTGGTGATTCTTTGCGCTGACTAAGCTACACCCTCTATCCGCAAAAGTTGACACTAAACTTCGCCGACAAAGCGGCGGTCGCTCGGTCGGTATAGTTCGTTTGCGGACTAAAATCACGGAATTTTGTTTGTTCTATGCTACCATTTCATGATGTATAATGTAGCTATTGACAGCGTCATTAAATAAACCACGTAAGTTGAATGGCACATGCGCTTTCTGCTTCCCCTTCTCCCGGTATTTCTGGAAACAAAGGCTAGCACATTGCGATTCTGATGCTATCTCGCGGAGCTGTTTGAACTCTCAGCGACAAATGCAGGACAGGTACTGCAGCGCCCCTATGAATACATGTTCAAGCTACGGGCTACACGCTGCAAGCGCTACTGTACACGTAATGGGCGTTCGAGAGGTAACCAGCTTTTGTTTCGTGTTGCTTCTTTTAACGACGAGAAAACAACAGCTGCAGAATATGTTATGCTCTGACGTACTCTGTAAAATGCGACGAAATGGAATTGAAGCCGGCGACAGATGAATTCTTATTTGCAATTACTCAATTAATCAATAAATTAAATTTCTAATAAGACGTTAAATAGTGGGGGGAATGGTCGTTTTAAGAGTGGTGTCACGTCTGATGTGACGCGGTATAGTCCGATAGAAATTGACCGATATTTCGGAGGAAGTTTCTGCCAATTGATAAATTGCCTGACAGAAGTTTTCGAGTTCATAGCCCCCGAATTAAATGAAGTCATTATTTTAAGCTTGCGATGTGTACACCTAGACGAATAGATGGGTTATCTGTTGAAGGAAAAAATAGATAAAAGCTGCAAATATAAAATTGTACAGTTGAATTTCTTCAAAAGGCAAAGTTTTCCCTGTGCTTAATTAATTAAGCACTGCGCTAGGAGAGCGTATGGGGGAGGGGATGTATAGATCCACGTTTTGTTGACCTCTACACTAGTTGAAGGTGAGTGGTCAGCTTTACTCCCCGATCACTTTACCCCCGGGGAAAGAGCCTCCACTACCCTTTGGATATGAGGCTTGGTGGGCCCCAGAGCCGATCTGGACGGCGTGGAGAATAGAAAATTCTTGACGTTAACCGGTACTCGAACTCCGAGTCCTCAGTAGTCCAGCCTGCAGCCAGTCGCCATACCGACTACGCTAGACCGGCTCCCTAAAGTTGCTTCTGTGCTTAACTAATTATTTAACAAATTAAGCACTGTCATGAAGATGTATGGGGGCTTGGATCTATAGATCCATATATTCTTCATCTAGGTATTAATTGGAGGTGAATGGTCAGTTTCACCATCCGGCCGCTTTACCCCCCGGGGAAAGATACCCATTGGCTTGGAGATTGGTTGGGCACCGTAACTGGTCTGGACGACGTGGAGAGGAAAAAAACTGCTATTATAGGGACTCGAACTCCTAACCCTCGGCTGTCCAACCTGTAGGGAGTCGCTATACCGACTGAGCTATCCATAAATGACATTCGTCGATTGGTCTTTATAACGGAATTCCTTTTTCTGTGATGTAAATATTATTTACACGAGCTTCAGGATGAGGAAAGTTGAAACGTCCAGAAACGCCTCGTGACGAGATTTGAAGCACGACTTCCCACAGGGGCGGTTTCCGTTCATACCTGTTCCGCGCCAGGAGGGGAACCTTTTTATTATCACAGGAAACGGAGCTCTAGAAATGCAAGACAAGCAACAAAGACGATTTTAATGGACTTCGTCCGCACAGCTGACCTTCTGTCTCAGTGTCTAGGCAGATTGTATAGGCGAACGGACGTCATTCATTAAGCCCTCGTTGCTCACACCTGCTCACCAGCTCCTTCGTACGAAATTCCCGAGTCTAAATCATCTTTCAGTGATATTTGGTGGGGGCACAAAGATCTTCATTAAGAATTTTTCTCCAACCTCCTGTCACTTCTTGTCTCTTCGGTCCAAATATTCTCCTCAACACCCCGTTCTCAAAAACCCTNGCTACAAGCCGGAAGGTGGCGGGTTCGATTCCCGATGATGACCTAATCCATCCGCATAATGGCCCTGGGGTCGACTCAGCCTCTAACAGAAATGAGTAGTAGGAACATTCTTAGGGGTAAAGGGCGGCCGGCGCGTAAGCTGACAACCACACCGCCATCTGTGAGCCGATTGTCTAGAAAATGTAGGAGCCTCAACAACTCAGAACCCTATGGGCCTCCACAGCCTGTTACAGGAATACCTTCACTTTAAGCTTATGAGGTCACCTTACCCGTAATTCCTGAAAGCCTTAAGTTCTCCTCTTCATATAACCTAGGTCGTATGAAAGGAAAGTAGGCGATTAGTTCTTCCCAGAACTTCTTGTATGTATATACGTTTTGGAATAAGTCACATGTGCATCTCACGTTTGCGTATCTCCTACATTTTACCCTCCGCTCCATATTCATTGATCATCCTATAGTAGACGCCATATGATCTCTATACCGACAGCGTCGTTAAATAACCAACTTGAAATAAAAAATCTCTAAGTTGTACTGCACAAGGTCTCGTATACCGATGTTTTCAGAACAGAGAGTAGAGAAACACGTGCAAGAACATTGCTGTCGGAATTACTAGGTTTTTGGACTTTGTCCATCATCCGGTATCCCCGCCCAAACACCAGAAAACACAACGTTTCGGTAACTACATCTGTCTCCATCGTCAGATGAGAACATTGCTTGTTAGCTCGTTTCCTGTTATGACCAGCCCGCATTATTTTCTCTCTGCTTAGGTTTTCGCGCAGACAACTGCGCATGCTTCTCAGTTACCTAGTGCACCCGCTGGTAGCCTCATTGTGATCGGGATGTCTGCAGTCTCGACGGTAGACGACAGCTTCCTCTTCCTCGGTCTCCCTTTCTGAACGCCGCCCCCGCTAGTATAGTACTGCGCCGGGGAGTCTCCCGCCCTGAAGGCCGCCTCCAGGTCGACACCGCCGCAGTAGCCATTGTGGTTGTACAGAAGTTCGTAGTGAAGCAGGCAGTAGGCCAGGCCGTCGCGCATCCTGAATTGCTGGCCGTGTCGCAGAACGATGCCACAAGATGCGCAGATGAAGCAATCCACGTGGTACACTCTGTCGTTGACCCGCGTCACCAGATCTTTGGCGTGAATACCGGCTTGACACTGATCGCAACGTCTCACGGCAAACAGTCTGCGGACACCAAAGGAAACTCAAGTGAATTTAGTTCAGGTGCGAGGAAGGGTCAGTAAATACGTCACAGGTGGTTGTAAAACACATAAACCGTAAACCTGGAGGAAAAAAACTTGTCACGTCGTTGTAAAGGCGCGTCCACATTACTCGTGCTCGTGCTCGTGTGACTCGGTATGCTCGCGAGTAATGTGGACGATTCAAGGCAACATAAATGTGTATCTCGTTCAGCTAATAATGGCATGGGCTCAGTGACGTGAGCTGAGGATTGGTTTCTACTGGCTCAGCACAGATCCCAAGGGCGGGCTGTTATGAACAAGATAATCAAACTTCGGCCTCCATAAAAAGCAGATAAATGCTTGTTTCATATTAAGAGTTTTATCTTTCCGTGTGATATGCCATGTAATCATGTGAAAGGCAGCCGACGTTTCGGAGGGATATATCATCTTCGTATTTAGCATGGAAGGTAAGGCAACGAGGAAAGGGCAGAAGCAAGTGGGAAGATAATAGAACCTTAAAGGATCTATAAAATTGCGAATGGAACAATAAACCAAGTAACGATTATGTTCCTCCGAAACATCAGACTGCCTCCATACTCTTCATAATCACCGCTGTTGGAGCCTGAAATCCACAAAAGAAGTTTATTAGTTGAAGTAGTTCCGTCATCGAAACTGTGAATCAACCTGTACGTAGCCATTTCAGCGCCACCAGCGCACTCAAATCGACCAGGTGACATCACAGCGGAAACGCAGAAGGTTATATATTCGTACGGCCGTTAGGATCAGGAGTTAACTTGGAGGGAAACCAGGTGACGCAGATTATTGTGCTGAAATATAGGCGTTTTGTTGAAGCGTAATTTAACGTTGTCTGGCCCAGCGAAAACGCATATTAACTGAGCAATATGCGTCCATTTCCAGAGCGTGAGTATTTTGTGATTACGTTGAAGTTAATATGTAAACTATACAGGGTGTTCCAGGAGGAAAGGTCAATATTCTGTGAGGTCATAGTATCGGTCATTCTAAGGAAAAAAGTGTATATGTACATGTGTCCCATTCCGAACGGTTTCCGAGATAGAGCTATTTCACTGTACTGTACACTGTACAGACGAGCAACACGCCATGTCCTCACACGAGTTGCACCGAGATAGAGCTATTTCACTGTGCAGTACACTGTACACTGTACAGACGAGCAACACGCCATGTCCTCACACGAGTTGCACCGAGATAGAGCTATTTCACTGTGCAGTACACTGTACAGACGAGCAACACGCCATGTCCTCACACGAGTTGCAAAGTGCATTGATGTTCACGGTGGATTTTTCTGACATGTGTTATACTAGGTAAACTGTACCAGCTTTGTCATTTGAACAGTAAATACCGGCATTAGAAACAGTACGTAATATCTCTTTCTTATCAACGATTTTGGAACCGTACAGTGAAATAGCTCTATTTCGGAAACTGTTCGGGATAGGACACATGTATATATATACTTTTGTGTTTAGAATGACCGATACTATGACCTCCCAGAATATTGAACCTTAATCCTGAAACATCCTGTGTAGTGTCCGATGGTAAAATGATTGAAGGATTGGAAGGGATTTGAAAGGAAGCGGTCGGTGTGTGATCGAGGTACTATCCCAGAATTCGTAAAGGTACTGAGGAAAATCATAGAAAATTTCAATCAGTGTATCCGTTCTGTTGGTTGAGATTCGAACTGAATACCTCCAGAATAAAAATACAGGGCATTCCCACTACATTCATCTGCTCAGTTAGGTTATATGTGAGTTTAAATTTGTTTAAACCTGGTATATAACTTTGAAACTTAACATACATGAAATATAAATTTAAAATTTCGTTTATCTTTTCTTGCTTGTTTTTCCATTCACCCAAAGATCACGTGCCCCAAACTGCACTTCACTGCACTGCTTACAGATTGCGCGCATGAGGGTGTAAACTGCCGTTGCGTGAATTTGTTGCGCTTCTTGACGTGGGTGAAGCGACGTGGAAATGTCAAGTCGACGATATCAGCCACATTACCGATTTCTCGTTTCCACGTGGTGAGTAGGCCTACTGAATACAAATTTAATATCTTCACTTTTATTATAAAATATCTTGAATATACAAAACTATAATTTTGGCTGATGTTTTGTATGATTGTGAAACTTGGACTCCGACATTAGGGGAGGAAAACAGACTGAGGGTGTTTGAGAACAGGGTGTTGAGGAGAATATTTGGACCGAAGAGAGATGAAGTGACAGGAGGTTGGAGAAAACTGCATAATGAGGAACTTCATAACTTGTACTCTTCTCCAAGTATAATTAGAGTGATCAAGTCAAGGAGGATGAGATGGGCAGGGCATGTAGCACGAATAGGGGAGAAGAGGAATGTATATAGGATATTGATGGGAAAGCTAGAAGGAAAGACACTAGTAGGAAGACCAAGACGTTGGTGGGTGGATAATACTAAAATGGATCTTAGAGAGATAGGATGGGATGGTATGGACTGGATCGATTGGCTCAGGATAGGGACCAGTGGAGTGCTCTTGTGAACACGGTAATGAACCTTCGGGATCCATATAATTCTGAGACGTTCTTGAGTGGCTGCACAATTGATGGCATCTCAAGAAGGGCTCAGCTCCATGAAGTTAGTTATGGCAATTTTGGATTTGTGCTTAATTAAGTGCCACACGGTGAACACGTGTCACTTCCCTTCAGAATACAAAGAAGGACAACTTAACCCTAGAAGTGCCATTTTAACTCCTATATTACCAAACTTCCATTCAAGTTTGCCAGAGGTACACTTGGGAGGGTTCGATTCCCGATGAGGTCATTGGATTTTTCAATTAACCTAATCCATCCAACCGCACTATGTCCGTGGGGTCGACTCAGCCTCTAACAGAAATGAGTACCAGGAATCTTCCTGGGGGTAAAGGGCTACCGGCGCGTAAGACTGACAACCTTACCATCTGTGAGCCGATTGTCTACAAAATGTGGGAGCCTCCACGTTTCACTACCTTATGGGCCTCCACGGCCTGTTACAGGGATAGCTTTACCTTAGAGATGCACTTACTAATGGTCAGTCAGTATACAAAAGGGCTGCATAATATCTTGAAATTGTTAAAGTTGAGGTTAAATTTCCAACAGATGTATCATTTTGTATGAAACAGCAATTTCTGTTAAGAGTCGTTGTTTGCGATATTTGGCACTTGTGGAGTTAATTATGAATTTTTGGCACTTGATGCATTAAACTTTTACCTCTGTATTTAAATGGTTACTTTGTCTCTGTTTCGGAAATTGGTAGAGGGGCAGGTCCCCCCCCTATTGTGTTTGTGTCTGGCAGCAACTAGAAGGTTGTCATTTTGTTGTCTGCTTGTCTATTGTTTACGGACCCTCAGAACTCGACAGGTTGGATTGAAATGATTCAAAATGGAGGCTTTTGCGAACACGTGTTTAATTTTAATCCCTATTCATGAGCCCCTTGCAGGACGTAAATGTGTAACGGGCGGAAAATTATCTGGACACAGTTCATACGATAATCGCTAGACGCCTACCCGACCCGGCAGCGCGCTATGCAACGTGTGGTTGCTAGGATACCGACTCTTAATAGCCTAGTAATTTGCTACCCTAGTGATCCTCTGTTGCATAACCAGAATGTTGCAGTAATTTGCTTCTCTCATTACGGGCCATTTTCTTTGTTGGAAACTTTACCCTGCTAGAAAATTGAATTGAGTTTAAGTACTTAGGTAATTCTCTTGAATGCGGCCTGAGCATGTGAAGTCAGTTCGACTGGAGGTATTATTATAACTCTTGCGAGGTGGGCAGGGCATGTAGCACGAATGCGGAAAAGAGGAATCCATATAGGATGGTGGGAAAGCCAGAAGGAAAGAGACCACTTGGAAGACCAAGGCGTAGGTGGGTGGACAATATTAAAATGGATATTAGAGAGATAGGATGGGATGGTGTGGATTGGATTGATCTGGCTCAGGATAGGGACCGGTGGAGGGCTCTTGTGAACACAGTAATGAACCTTCGGGTTCCATAAAATGCTGGGAAATTCTTGAGTAGTTGCAGAATTGGCTTCTCAAGAAGGGCTCAGCTCCGTAAGTAAGCAACAGGTGGAATGAGACTTGGCAAGGGAAACCGAAGTACTCGGATGAAACCTGCCCCTGTGCCACTTTGTACGCCACATGACCTGACCTGGGCTCGAACACGGGCCGCCGCTAGGTCTAACCGACGACTGACTGCCTGAGCTATGACACGGTCTTAACTGTTACTAACTTGTATTAATTTGATGTTCAAACAACAGTTTTAATTAGCGTAAATAGATAATTATAGTGAAAATAGGCTTCCCCTAGTATTTTTAAGTGAGGGGGCTGCAGTTTTCCAAAGGGGAAGCTACAGTACTTTCATACAAATTTGAGCTTAATCCATTTAAGGAAACTGTATCAGTCTTCCTACAGTATTCAGTGTATAAGTGTATGAACGTAAAGCTATCCCTGTAACAGGCCGTGGAGGCCCATAAGGTTGTGAGACGTCGAGGCTCCCACATTTTGTAGACAGTCGGTTCACAGATGGCGGTAAGGTTGTCAGCCATACGCACCGGCCGCCCTTTACCCCCAGGAAAATTCCTGATACTCATTTCTGTTAGAGGCTGAGTCGGTCCCAGGGCCATGGTGCAGCTGGAAGGAATAGGTCAATTGAAAAATCCAATGACCTCATCGAGAATCGAACCCACGACCTTGCTGATAGTATAATAGTGCCTCAACGTACTACGCTACCGCGTACCCACCATATTTTTAAGATTTACATCAAACTTTTTTTTTTTACATTTTATGACAAATTTATTTTATAATATGCAATCTAAGTTACAAAATAAAATTATATTGCCTAAAAACACACGTGAAGTCGATTATGTAACTTCAAATGAACATATTTTCAGAAACATTTCTATAATTCGGACTTCCCCTAATGAACGAAGTTTCGCTGAAAATTAGACCGAATTAGTAAAGACATATTTTGATGCAAGATATATTAAAACATCTACCAGTTTTATGTAGAAATCTGTCTCCTTGTCAAGTGTGGTCAAGTTTCTGTAGTAATGAGAGTAGCATCTTTATAGGACATATTTCGATTTCACAATAACGTCACGTCACAGTACCTTTATCTGGGAAATGTAGTAAGAAGTTACGCTGAAGGGAAGAAGATGACGTGGCGGGAATAAATACCACAGTAAATGTTGGTTTCATCTTCTAGTTGAATTCTTAAACTCTTTTTGTTGTGTGCGGGATTGCAGACGTTGGGGCAGCGGATGCGCGCCTGTAAAGTATACATCCCGACAGACACAGGAGAATAAATAATTGATTTATCTGCTACTATACTGGATTTATGTAAGGTCGCAAAATGTAGCTTTCAGGCGTCATTGAATGGTTCTGCACGCGGTTCATTCCGAGCAATTAAATAACAATTCAACTCTACAAGGAATGTGTAACTATGCAGTGGAATTACAGGCGGTTGTGATACCGACATGTCAATGACATGGCTGGGCCTCCCGATAGTTAAAACAACTTTGGAAAAAAAAAAGTAACATGTCCTTATTTTTATTTTTAAAGAAGAGGATTCCTTAACCGGGTGCTCTTCGGTCGTAATTGTCAAAAATTACTTACTAATTGTTTATTCGTTTGAAGGAATTTAAATGTTCATTTTCTTTCCGTTTCTTGTTATTTTGCATTCCAAAGTTGATATAAAATCCTTCGGAAATTCGCGTGTATAGTTCAGAAACAGTCTGGTGTTTCGAAGGAACATATCGCTTCCTCCTTCAAGGTTCATGTGTAATCCAAGCAAGAAACAAACAGAAGTAGGTGATAAGCTGAGGTGTCCCGCGTTACAACACGCAAATGACGCCATTGTTCGCAGTTTTTGGCATGAGAACCTCGGATCGAACACACATTTGTCTGTACGTGAGTGAGAATGGCGCGTTTTGAGCCGAGAATCCAGTAAAATACCAATCAGACATGTTACCGCTGTAATCCATTTTAATATTATCTTCCTAGCTGTGTTTCTTTCAAATTTAATTTGTTTCCTAAGTATCCTAAACACGTAGCCTTCTCCCAATCTTCCGTCCTGGCTCCCATTTCACAGTGTGATAGGGTCTGATATCTTGACTGGTAAGTTTTTTTGTCACAGTTCAAGGTACACTAACAGTCCATTATGAAGTCATCGAGAACTGAACCCGAGCCTCCGCGTGAAGGCACACACTTTAGAAATATTTATTAATTTATGAACCTTTGGTTCCGCAACCAGTGGTGATTCATGGGAACCTTACACACATTTCCCTGTGAAACAGGTTGGGAGGGGGGTGGATTTGAGCAGTCCCTGGTTGCACCCGGAAGCCCTCGCTGCAAGAGAGGCCGCAGTTTCGCTAATTATCTCTGTTTTTGTTCGGTGCGGCGACTGACCCATGTTTTGACACGAAGCGATCTGCTCTTGTTTGTAAACTGCGGGTAGTGTTAGTGTCAGCCAGTAGAGGGCTCAGCGTCGTGGCAAACTGTAACATTTTCAACAGACGCTAGGAGAGGTTTCTTGGGCACCGCAAGGGGTTGAACGCAGCAGCAATAATAATAATAATAATAATAATAATAATAATAATGTATTTATGTATATCTACGTAAGAGATCAATGGCCAATTACAAATTAAGAGCAGAAACAATAGAAATACTAGAGAAACACAGACATAAAAGAAAAATCAAGGCAGTTCATATCATTTAAATAATAATAATAGTACAAACAAACAAACTCCGTGGCTTGAGTCCGCAAGCGAACTATACCGACCGAACGACCGCCGCTTGTCGGAGAAGTTAATGCCAACTTTAGCGGATAGATGGTGTCGCGTGGTCAGCGCAACGAATCCCCACGGCAGTTAATTTCGGTTTTCTAGACCGGAGCCGCTATTTCCTTGAAATAGCTCCTCAATTATCCTCAAGAGTCTGAGTGGACCCCGTGTTTACCGAACCGTTGCCTAGCAATGATTAGAGGTAGGGGTACACATATAGACACACTGACAATAAGGTGATTTCATAAGCCTATTTTATTCCTTTTTTTTTTCTTCAAAATATGGAATGTAGTCTAGTAAGACGGTGTGCCCCCAAACTGATTAATGTGGCCTATAGTAGGGCAGAAGTTTCAGAAAGCAGATTTGGAGCAGGTTATCTGCGCGTTACGGCCGGCACGTCTCCCAGAGGAAGCACAAACAGATGCACGCAGCAATTAGCCGGCTGCAAATAAACAGAAAGAGGAAATACGCAAGGCTTCCTTCTGCGACGTCATTTCAGTGCGAACAAATAAGCGCTCTTGGCTTTCGCGCCTGCGCTTTATCGCCTCTTCATCCCTGTTGATTATTTAACAACGCTGTCAGTAACTGAGAAAACCCACAAAAATAAAATCATAGCCGATACCACGGCAAAGATTCGAACTGGACACTTCTAGAATAAAGTCAGAAGCGTTACCGCATGAGATAATTTGCTCAGTGTAATTATCTTATTATCGTTGCATTTTTCAGTTGGCCTAACCCTTCCAGCCGCACTATGGCCCTGGGATCGACTCTAACAGAAATGAGTACCAGGCATCTTCCTGGGGGTAAAGGGCGGCCGGTGCGTAAGGCTGACAACCTCACCCCCATCTATGAGCCGAATACCTAGAAAACGTGGGAGCCTCGAAATCTCATACCCCCATGGGCCTCCACGGCCTATTACAGGGATAGCTTCACTTTATTAATATTATTATTATCATTGCTGTTATTATTAAACCGGAATATCATCGCTGTAAATTGCACACAAATTAGAACGCACAGGCATAACAGCAGCACAGCAGAACTATGCACTATAGGTACACCTCTAGGCTACTCGCAAACACATCAGTACTGAGCGCCTAAACTGCCGTTGAAATAACAAATAAAATGAAGGAGAAATATCTATTTAATTGACGTCTTGCAGGTGTTTTCAAACGCACCACAAAACATACAAAGAGAATATTCGGAGAGTTCCTTGAAATTGTTTCTTAACGTCAACCGAAATGGTTCAGATCTTGCTCACAGTTTCTGTTGTTCAGAAGTGAGATCTACAGGCAGACTTTTCTCACCTTGCCTCTTGGCTGCGCATAAGGAGAAATGAGGAGAAGTGTGGAAAGAAGTAGCGGGACAGTGGTTGCAGCTTTATCGTGGGAGGGTAACGAAGGCCATGCTATAAACCATACACACCCCACAGTCCTTATCTCAGTTAGTGGACTCGACCTAATTCACTGCGCATTCTGTTGAGAGCGGACAGGTGTAAATAGACGGACTGTATTTTACTAAAAATTGGACATGGCCACAGAGGAATGTTGCTTTCTACATGCGCTGTTGGCACTGGAGAGACCTGACGCTCTCGTAGCCGTGGATATGAAGGGTACAGTCTTTTGGGATGTGTCGCCATGTCCTTTATATTGTTACGTACTATGTGTGACTATAGACGGGGTTTTGGATTGAATATTGAATTTATTGACAACTTACAGGTCGTAACTACAAATAAGTATAACATCATCGCTATTTCACACTTTATAAAATCACCCTGAGTTTTTCCACCTCGCAATGTTTCCACAAGTAGTTGCTTGGTAACGGCTTCTAACAGTGTCTATTGCTCTGCTCCTGGGCTCAAGTCTTCTCTAACAGCGACTCCCTTCCAATTGAACTATTCTTGCTCCAAATGTCCTTATAACCCTTCGGCACGGACCACTGTAGAAAACTCGCATTTCCAACAGTACGTCTATTGTTGCGAGTCGATTCATTGCTATGGAAACGTGTTTGTTTGTGATTGTTATCTAGTAACGGCTCTACGCGCTATAATGTATAAGTGCAAACATTCAGAATTATCGTGCTACATCCTTATTCAGTCTACCCTGAGGATGGAGGCATGAGAGTCCTGAAAATGTTGGTACCTGTCTACTACATACCAGAAAACGGAAAATCAGAGTGCAGTTGTTGCCCCAAATATTAGTTACCACTTCCATCCTACCTATGAACCTTGTGGAACATCCCCATTATGATCCTACTACTGTTGGAAGCGGGGGTTTCTGCTCGGACCGTGCCTAGGGCTTATAAGGAGAACAGCGGGTACAATAATAGTTCAGTTGGAAGGCAGCCGTCGTTCAGAGAGAACTTGAGCCCGGAAGCAGAGGAATATCCATTGTTAGAAGCCGTTACCAGGCAACTCGGTCTCATATTGATGCTGTTCTGTTAAGTGACATCACTCAGAAATTATCACCCTCGTCTGTATTCTAGGAAACACGTTTCGAGCTCTTAAATAATATCAGTTGCTAAGAACAGATTTTACTCATAACCTCATCGGTATAAACATGTCTTTTAACGTTACATAATACATTAAAGCTTACATCTCTTTAAGAAGTAAACTGCGGCTATGGAAAATATTGTTTCTGCATTGTGTATGCCGAAGTTCGTTCATGAATGCGAACACTGCCTGTCTTTGTTTCCCAATTTGGACACGGCGAGTTTCTGTTTCTGATGTCAACAGAACAAATTTTTGTTTCTGGCTTTGACACTGCGGATTCTGTTTTGGATTTTCCACGGGAAATTTTTTGTTTGCTATTTGGACGTAAGAATTTTTTTATGGTTTGTACACAGCGAATTTTTGTTTTTTACTTTGACACTGAGGATTCTGTTCCGGGTTTGTTCACGAAAAAAAANAGCTAGCCTCAATCACTGTCCAGCTCTTTCTAATGGACCCAACAGAATAGGTGTTTTCCTTCACCTGAGGACGGAAACAGATCCAGTTTCCGAAACGTCGTGTTCTTAATAGTTATCTTAAAAACCAGGACGATGGATAAAGTCCAAAAACACAGTATATCAGTGTGTTATACACCATCGTCAGAATCTTATAGTAACTACTGCAGATTTTGTTTCGGATGTGTTCACGGATTTTTTTTTTCCAACTTGGACACTGCAGTTTTCATACACGGATGTGACTGTTGTTTAACGTAAAACATTTTGCGGGTATATCATGTTTCGATCAGGTAAACCTAAGATAATAGCGATTTTGTTTCCGCATCGTACTTTGAAAATAGAACCCAGTAAATATCTAATTATGGTATCACTATCAACATCACTGTTTTATGATGACACAATCTCAAAAGTGTTTTAGACACAGTCTACGGCATATCTCTGCTTGGTACCCGCGGCCCTTGGGGGGCACACGGTAGTTGATTGAGGCACTAAGATAAAACCCGGAAGTTCGTGAGTTCGATTCCCGTTGAGGTCACTTGCTTTTTCAATTGACCTAAATCCTTCCAGCCGTACTTATGTCACTATGGTCGATTCAGTCTCTAACAGAAATGAGTACCGGGAATCTCCTTGAGAGGTAAAGTGCGGCCTCCATCTGTGAGCCGATTGTCTAGAAAATGTGGGAGCCTCGACGTCTCACAGCCCTATGGGCCTCCACGGCCTGTTACAGGGATAGCTTTACCTCTACCCGCGGCCCTTGCCTATACAGTTGAACAAGAAATGACAGCTGATCCTACCTGTAGAAGTCCTCCTTGCAGTAGATATTTCCGTCCTTCACGAAGCAGGACACTTGCGAGTCGAGCGCCAGCTTACACTCACAGCACTTGAGGCAGGCGGAGTGCCACTGGCGGTCCACGGTGACGAGGTAGTAGCGGTCCGTGATGCGCCCACCGCAGCCGTCACACACCGCGGCTTCAGCGCTGGGACACGGGCTTGCGGCTGTGGGGCCCATCGCCTCTCGCTCCTTCAGCATCCCGGCGCGGCAGCTAGCAGCCCATAGCTCCTCCACCTGCCCACCAATTGGTACCGAGGTGGTTAAACAGTAGGGACCTGAAACTGACCATTCCGCCTACTAGTGGAGTTATACCTCCACTTCCCCCATATGTCTTCATGGCGTAGTGCTTAGGGATAGCTATAGCTAGACTAGATAGTGCCGGAAGTTACAAACAAGCAAACTCCGTGGGTTTAGTCCGCAAGCGAACTATACCGACCGAGCGACCGCCGCTTGTCGGAGAAGTTAGTGCCAACTTTAGCGGATGGAGGATGTCGCGTGGTCAGCGCAACGGATCCCCACGGCCGTTAATTTCTTTTTTCTTTTTTTTTTTAGACCGGTTACGTTTATGTAAAAGATGAATTGTAAACAGTCGTGGGCCTAAGCGAGGTACTAACCCAGCATGCAGGGCTGATAAAACCGATGAGAAGCCACATGTCCTGACAAGACATTCGAACCGAGTACCTCCTGAAATCGAATCTAGAGCGCTTACTGCCTCGACGGTTCTCTAATTAATCGTTAAAAGGCTTTCCTATTTATTTATAATTTTTTTGTTATATTTCCTTTGTTGTTTTGACACTAATTAATTTCAAAATCTGTGGAACTAAGCGGTCGTGGGCCAACTGGAAGCCGTGTCTCAACATTTTCATTTTGGGAGTTAGGGAAACCATGAGAAATCAACGTAGGGTAGCTGTCTGTGGGCCGAGATTTGAACCCAGGACCTCCCAAACAGGAAGCATCTCGAATATGCAGGTAGATGTAAGTGTTTGGCGCCTATACCCGCCCCCGCCCCGGAACATTTGCTTTCAGAATTAATGTTTAAGGCACTAAAGCTTATCGGCATTTCAGCCATGTGAATTTTGAGTTAAAACCAACGTTTCAGAGGTCCTCTTCTATCGACCCTGATAATGGAGACCGAAGAAATCCCTGAAACGTCGATTTTTAAATCAAATTGACACGTGCTCATCACCCGATGAGATTTTATCGTATTGATTCTCCGAAATTTTCAAAATCTTAACAGAACTTACGTTTAAGCTGAATTTATTACGAAACGTCATTTAACGTTAGAATAAATTCAAGAATAACTTCAAATTAATCCAATTTTTAATTAAACAATTATGAAGTCCAAGACATTACAACCTCAAACAGTCATCTTCAAGGAAGGCCAGTGTTACTACGAAACTTCACCTTTGTAGCATTTACATAATTTTACATGAATTAAGTGATGAAATTAATTCAGTGATTCATGTAACATGTAAAATTTTCTTGTAGCATTGGATACCGTCCGAATATGGCTGTTTGTCTCTGAAACTTGTTAACTAAATAACTAACCCCATGGGGCTGAACCCTTCTTGAGAAATTTGATTTGCTAGTTGTGCAGCTACTCAATAAATTCCAAATATTTATGGGACCCAAAGTGTCATTACCATATTCCATTGGTCCCTATCCTGAACCAGATCAATCTACTCCATACCAACCCAGCCTATCTAAGATCCATTTTAATATTATTCGCTCACCTACGTCTTGGTCTTCCTAATGGTCTCTTTCCTTCTGGCTTTCCCACCAACATCCCACATGCATTTTTCTTCTGGCTCAGGATAGGGCCCAGTGGCGGGCTCTTGGGGGAAATTTTCAGTAGCTGAGCGACCGCTGGCTTCCGAAGAATGGTCCGGTCCCTGCAGTTGGTTAGTTGGTAATTAAGTGCGTTGGGTTTGAGGTTCTCATAGCGGTGGGTATGAAGAGCACCGTTTTTGGCATTTGACGCCGTGTACTCCGACATAATTCCGTTAACGTTTCGAATGAAGGTATTGTCTTCTGTTTCAATGGCGAAAATAAGCCACACAACACCCAGCAAGAAAGAAGCAGGAAGTTGGGTTCTCCTCGCATAGCTTACTCGTCGACCCTGAAGGAAGGAGAAACACTTTCCTATGTAACGTCGGTGAACTGCCAGACTACACGGCGTCATGTCCCAAAATATAATGTTCTTCATGATCATGAACCTTGAAGTTTGCGATTAATTTTTATTTTAATTAATCGGTATTTGCTTTGAGAAACTGGAAACACAAAGCAATTTCAGACATGATATGCAGTGACTTGGCTGACGTTCGAACCGGGAGTCTCTGGAATACGATTCTAGAACGTTACCGCTTTCTCCAATATTCTCTGTGAATTCACGCTTCTGTAGAGTTTAAATTTTGTTTGACCAATGAAAATGCAGCAATGAGAAACCTTTATTTTGTGGATATTTGATGCGTTTTGATTCGTTCAGAAATGTCCTTATTAGAATTGGTACCATGGCTTTATGGCCGTTGCCGACCACGCAACGGCATAATTACGTTCTCCTGCCTCGTAACCAAATAGGCAGGCAGAGTAATAAAATTTCGAAAGACCTTTCTGCCTCCAGCTTCAGGGTTAGTGTTACAATTTAATTTTGAAATCGCTGTTTAATTTATTTGAGATATTTAAGTCACGAAGGATCGATGCAAATAAGTCGTCCCTAGACCAAACAATCAATAAATTAAATTAAACCTGTAGCTGTAAATAAACTAACCCCCCTTGTTTTCCCGAACACAGTAAGCCCACTTCTGTCACCACATTTTTACCCTACGTCAAAAATGCATGATGTATTTTATCCCGTCATAGTTCACAGACATTAAGGGCAAAGGAAACTATGGACGGTAGCAAATACCGCAGTGAAGCCATCTGTCATCAGTTTGCGAGGGCGCAGTTAACTAAATTTAATTCAAATCCGTTTTATGTGTTTGGACAGATATTCAGTACCCGTGATCGATGGTTTTTGAATCTACCTGTTGTCCACAGCGTGAATGTACAGACCCAGTGTCCTAGTCCTAGTGGTATGTGTTTCCAATTAGGAAGGGCGTATGGGATACCGGGTTTGCATCCAATTAGAGACATATTAGGTGCACTTCCAATTATATATATATATACATGTTTCGAGGTATTTTGGTACGCAGTTACGTAATTAATACCGGAAAATGATACTTGATGACGTCACAATTTATAGGCTAGCAAATATTCTGCTAATTGTTGAATGATTTGTATAAAGCAAAATTCATATTTGAATTATCTTTGATATATTTTGCGACTTTCCGAATGTTGTCTGTCTTAAGAATCTGTGATGTTACGTCACAACTGGAGCAACCAGTTGTGTGGAGCAACCAACCTTACGGAAGAAAATTCCCTGCGTTCTCAATCAGATTTCCGGTGTGGGGATTTGGGTTCTCATCTTGTGTTAGAAATACTCTAGTAACTCTAGTTATGACGTAATGACATACGTCACTGATGTTGCAAACTGAGAAAAAGTGTTTTAAACAAAATATATACATAATTTTCGTTGTGAAAATTTGCTCTACACTGTATTGTGAACATTATGTGCCAATACAATTTATAATCTTGATTTAATAATGTCTGTATTCCGCAATCAATTCTGTTATCCGTTAAGAAAATTCTATCCTGAAGATGAATTTTGTCCTTAGAATGTACTCCACAAATTAAATACAGAATATGTTCCTAAATTGCATTAATCAGTCTTGTTTATAGCAGAGATGTAATGTGTTTCCTGTGAGGTACGAACTGGGTTCTTATATATAGTGTTTCGAAGAAATGCCAGTAAAGCTTATATTTCAATATCGTGCAATTTAATTCAGGAAACCAAAATCCCACGGCCCCTGTCTCAAGATATTGTCGCACTTTCACACTGCCCTTATCAGAAGGACGAAAGAGCGAAGCCTGGGAACCTTCTAATGAAACGATGCTCTTTATGTCTCGACACAATAATTTGCATTTTCTGACTGGCAAAAAAAGAAACATGAAGTTATTACGATATTGTTGGACGCAATATTTATACATCATGCAAGTTGTACTGACAATTGCACCTAGACTGCAGACAATTCATGCCGTCTGTCTTCGTGTTTAAAATAGTTACTGATTGTATATGTGCTTATAGTTTTTCGGTTTTGTCTTTAAGGCCTAAGTTGTTATTTGCTTGTAGCAGCCTCCAAATTCACACGAGCTCTCATCTGTAACTTAGTTCGAATAATTATGAAGCATCAGCAAATGCAAGAAATATACCAGTTTACCCTATCGGGCCCGAAGTTCCTCTAAATCATGTTTAATAATTAATTTCATACAGAAAACACACTGCGTCCCCATTATAAACAATAGCCATGCTGTTCAGGGAAGTAACCGCTGTCTATCGTGAAAATATTAAAATATTTACAAATAAACTGTGTGTATGTAAAATGTAGAACATTTAATGTTGAAGTAGGTGCTACATATAGTAAACAATCTATTGTAAGGGGTTAAAGAAAGTAGAAATCTGTTGAACGCCTCGAGAAGAAATTTTAAACACGCCTGCACAGAAAAGGCACGTTTCTATATTATTCCTCTGGAATTATCCATTTGAACCATGAATATCCTCAAAATAATATATTCAAATTCAATCCCTACCTAACAGAAAACATATTGAATTCCCATTAAAATTAGCAAGCGATTAATGTTGGTTAGAGAAACAGTCGCTGTTTATTGTGAGAACCATACGGAACACACAAATACACTGTGGGCAGAATGCAGAGACTTTATATATAAGAATCCAGGCCTTATCTCACAGGAAACACATCACGTCTCCGCTACAGAGACCAACCGGTTAATGCTGTTTGGGGAAACAGTCGCTGTTTATTATGAGAACCATACGGAACACGGAAATAACATACAGGTGGCACATGTTTTAATCATTCTTCATTTTCAAAGATTAACTGAAAAGTCCTTGTTTAAATAGAAAGTCTTTTTCGTAGTTACGTCACTTTTCACTCAGAAGCCGCTCTATAGCCTATTTATTTTAGTAAGGAAATCTTCCGAGATGCAATACTCACAAAATCAGTATGAATAATTCTACATTATGGGACATACCGCCGTGTAGTCAGTTGAAATTCAACCGACATTTCGAATAAACATGTCGTCTCTATCTTCATGTTCGAAGATACCTCTGCTTGCCCTAATCCTTAATCCTGAAGATGGAGGCGACGTGTTTCTCGGAAACGTCGGTTGACTTTCAGCGGACTACACAGAAAGTGTAACTTTTCATAACCACCGGTGTGAGAACCTCAGATCTGTAAAATTTATGGAAGAAAATTATTAGATATTTGTTATGATGATGATGATGATGATGTATTTAAGAGCGGTGCAGTTATTATCGCCCTCGGATTACAAGACACGTCAACCGACGGCGTGTCCTGAGGATGTCTTCCGTCTGTCCTACAAGAGGAACGCTGCGATAGCAGTATAAATCAGAACCACGGTCATTTTCATTTTCACTGTTACATAATTCACAACAGTCTTATGTTTCGAGATTAGAAAAAAACAGTTTTAGGTTGGCAGATAATCGTTAAACAGAAATAAATAAGGTAAATTTAATTCATGTCATCTTTATCACGAGGCTTATGAACCATTTAAATGATAAACGCGATATGAGTCGTTCGGCAGTAAATATATTTGTTGTTTTATAACAATGTCTGTGATATGAAGCCTGTAACTCTTCACTTCGATATCTCGAAGGCGAATGATCTCTCCTGTGGACACACAGCAATGGAAACTGCGAGTTATCATAGACACTTTCGAAGTGTGGGATTGATAAATGGTTAATCAAAAGGGGGAAGCACAGTAAATCGTTGAAGGTCGCCGTGCAAGGGCCGGATTATTGTGGTCCACTCCTTATGAATTCGTACCATAGACACAGGACTATTGAAACTGTCTACATGGACATAAGTCTTTCTTGAGATGCCCAACAGTTTCTGAACTTCTCAAGAAATTCCTAAGTTTTTAAGCAACCCAAAGGTTCATTACCGTGTTCACGAGCGCCAGCCACTGATCCCCTATCTGACCAAGATAATCTGGTCTACATCATTCAATTTTATATATTTTTCAGATCCAATTTAATATTATTCCGCATTTACGCCTACGCCTTCTGAGTGGTCCGTTTCCTTCGGGTTTTCCTACCGAAATTTTCTCCCGAAAGTTTTACGTACACTGCTTATCTCATTTCCCGCGATTTTATCTCCCTAATAACGTTTGATGAAGCGTACAAGTTATGGAGTTGCTCAGTACGCAGTTTTCTCCCGTCACTTTATCCCAGTTAGGTCCAAGTTCCCCGTTCTCGAAAACGGGACTTTAGAAACGAAATAAATAATGTGCTTCTATGTTCTAATCAAACGGTAATGAGCCTATTAATTGTTTAAACCTCAATTTTAACACCCCAAAATTATGACATTCCCCCCAGCAAAATTGTTTAGATCTTCTCACTGTCATGTATGTGTTTCTTGCGTACTACACGTCTGACCTATCTTAATATATATTGCAGAAGTTTTCCGTAAATAATAACTACAAACTTTGGCCACGCTTTCACGTGTCTAAACACATTTGTCTATTAAGTTTATGAATACAGTCTCTGGAGAATATTAAGCCCACGTTCTGGAATGTGAAACCGTGTTGTCCGGTAGAATTTCATGGACGTTTCGGTTTAGCGTTATTACCTCTCCATCATCAAAATCGAAAAGTAAACGAAGCAGCAACCCACAAGACGTAATTTGTGTTTTCTATCTATATCTTCATGTTTGCTTGCTTCAACCCTGAAGATGGAAGCAGTACGTGCCTCGAAACCCAGAAGATAATGTTTCATTCGCTGCTGTGAGAAAATCAGATTCAGTAACTTAATCGTTGTTTCGTCCGAATAACGAAAATAAGCCAATAATTAAATAATGTACTTTGCAATTATCCGATAAAACGTTAACAAACGCAGTAATACACATGTTCGCGCCGGTCGCTGTCTTGTCAGTTACTGTCTATAAAATAATTCGCAACGAGCGCTTGTCGGTATGTCGCACGGAGGAGTTACACGCTGCTCTTGTCTGAACCTCAGTTTTGTACAGACACTGTCAAAACCACAGTCACGAGACACTTGACACCATAATAAATCAATTCATTTACACAGCAGATTAATTAGATAGGAAGCAAAACACGCAACAAAACATAAGATGGGGTGCTAGACACTTACCGGTGTTTACCACAGCTGTCACTCAATCCACTTGTTCCTCTCCCGAAGCACCTACTCTCTGCGTCTCTCTTCCTCTCTCACTTACCACTCTCTCTGTCTCACTCTCACCGGATAGCCAGCAGCGAAGTATAACTCTCAGGCAACAATTCCGTGCTTTTTTTTAGCGCTGGGGTCCAGCGATAACTGCTGTGTGGCGGTTGAGCAGCGAGGCTGGAGGAGGAGGAGGGAAGAAGAAGAAGAAGATGAAGTACGGTGAAGGTGGCGGTAGCCGCGGTGACGCGCGACCCCGCCCCCAACGCTCCAGTACGCAAACTCCACCTTCGTCTTGTCACCTATTGTCACTGCGCTAACAGTACCTGCTGCTTTCACATCCACCAATGAGGCGCGGCAAGAGGAGGGATTGACTCGTCTCCTATTGGCTGATGGTCTGGTGCACGGGGAGGAAGATGGATGGCGCTGATGTAGCACGGTCCTTGTGGTCTGTGAAGGCAGTCCGAGAGACTGGGTTGCTAAGAGTTCACGTATCGATTTTGTGTGAAGAGAGGAGACTGGGGAGGTTTTATTGCATTTTGAAGCTTCGAGAAATGTTACTGCTTGCTTATACCCTCAGGTGACATGTTCTGTGTCCAGAATTACATAGGGATTTAATTTACGAGAGTATAAACTAAGAAATGCGATTGAAATATATTGAGTTATGCAATTATACTGCTCATGTAAATGTTAACCCCCATCGTCACCGAACCTCATCCTTCCCTGTATTCATTGTAACGAAGTTTTTACTTCATCCAAGTTTTCAGGAATGTTGGGAGGTGTTTTTGGGTAGAAATACCCCCAAAATCCATGTCTTTTTGTGTTACTTACTTACTTATGGAGCAGAGCCTTTCTTGAGGAGAAGCCAAATCTGCAGCTACTCAAGAATTTCCAACCATTTTATGGAACCTGAAGTTTCATTACCGTGATCACAAGAGCCCTCCACTGGCCCCTATCCTGAGCCAGATCAGTCCAATCCATACAATCCCATCCTATCTCTCTAAGATTCATTTTAATATTTTCCACCCACTTATTCCTTGGTCTTCCCAGTGGTCTCTCTACTTCTGGCTTTTCCACCATTATCCTACATGCATTCCTCTTCTTCCCCATCTCTTTGTGTTACCCAAATTTATTTTATTTTGTCATTCCCTGTTTAATATTTCATTCTCCTGCATGTCCTAGCTCCCATGCCAATATTAAGAAATTTTATATTGGAGTTAAGGGTGTCGTGTTGTTTAACGACGCACTTGCACAGACTATTTTTGCATCCAGGGCAGTTCCCAGCAGGCCATTGTTATACCTCACCGTGAGCTAATTTCATTCTGACCACACACGCGCATAAACTTTTCTCTGAGATTGTAGGCTGGACTACTGAGGAAACGAGGTTCGATTCCCGGCAAGGGCACGACATATTTTCTCCACAGCTTTCAGACTTGCCTTGGGGCCCCGGAAGTAGCAGTGGTTGCACAGTACATCTCCCACTCCCAGTTCTGCAAATATTTCAAACAAGACACGAAATTCACTACCAGGAGATACGGCTGGAAGATTGCCTTAGGATCCAGGCACTACGGCAAGTGATTCTCATTCAGAGAGACGGTTTGTTTCCACCAAAATCTTGCCCGCGTTGACGGGAACCGCCAGGAAGTTGTGAGATAAGCATCATGGAATTGTTTTGTTTAGTTTCTGTTCGAAACGTGACATTAAACATTTCTTCCTCATCTCCCCACCAACATCCAGGACCTACCGCACTCAAAGTCCACAATAGGCTTCACCAGAACCAGCGAGATTAGTTGTACGCATAAATGGAAATGAATTTCAGTAATATTAGGAGCAGAAACACGGAGTCGGCGCCACTTTATGTTCAGTATGAAAGACGATTTTAAGGAAAGTCTACCAGCGTTATTAATCCTGGGCCCTGTGTTTGCGGTCAGCTTCATGCGGCTCCTCTTTCTACCCATTGAAGAGGGGCTGAATGGGCTCCAGAGCCGAAATGAACGCTGTGTAGAACAGAAATAGTTTGCCCCATACCGGGAATAGAGTGCCGATTCCTCGGCAATGCAGTCCATAGACTGTTCACTATGTTGACTGAGGTTTTCGGCAGTAATTTATATCTAATACAAATATTGATGTTTGTGGACAATATCCATCATTCTGTTTTTATTTAAAACAACGTTTCGGAGGCAGAATTTTGTCTCCGTCTTCAGGTAAAACCTACGCAGTTGGTCCCAAGTGATAGAGCTAGTCCCAATCTCCGGACACCTTTACCAACACCAGATAGGGTATACAAACTTTGCACGGCACAAACCATCTGCGGGAGCTAAGACAAAACATTACAATATTAACAACTCCACACGTATGAAGCCCAACCGAGTAGGTATGACGTTAAGACGGAGACAGAATCCAGCCTCCGAAATATTTTGTTTTCGTGTTTCCTGTAAGATACGAACTGAATTCTTATATATAAAGTCTCTGCATTCTGCCCACTTAGTGTAGTTATGTATTCCGTATGGTTGTCACAATAAACAGCGACTGTTCCCCAAACAGTATTAACCGGTTGGTCTCTGTAGCGGAGATGTAATGTGTTTCCTGTGAGGTACGGATTGGATTCTTATATATAAAGTCTCTGCATTCTGCCCACACAGTGTATCTGTGTGTTCCATATGATTCTCACAATAAACAGCGGCTGTTTCCCCAAACAGCATTAACCGGTTGGTCTCTGTAGCGGAGATGTAATGTGTTTCCTGTGAGGTACGGATTGGATTCTTATATATAAAGTCTCTGCATTCTGCCCACTTAGTGTAGTTATGTATTCCGTATGGTTGTCACAATAAACAGCGACTGTTTCCATAAACAGCATTAACCGGTTGGTCTCTATAGCGGAGACGTAATGCGTTTCCTGTGAGGTACGGACTGGATTCTTATATATAAAGTCTCTGCATTCTGCCCACACAGTGTGTTTGTGCGTTCCGTATGGTTGTCACAATAAACAGCTACTGTTCCCCAAACAGCATTAACCGGTTGGTCTCTATAGCGGAGACGTAATGCGTTTCCTGTGAGGTACGGACTGGATTCTTATATATAAAGTCTCTGCATTCTGCCCACACAGTGTGTTTGTGCGTTCCGTATGGTTGTCACAATAAACAGCTACTGTTCCCCAAACAGCATTAACCGGTTGGTCTCTGTAACAGAGACGCATTGTTTTTATTGTGAGGTGGGAAAGGAATAACATGGGCCTATATTGTTTAGACGATTTTCGTGATTTACAGGGTGGACTCGAACGAAGTTCTAGATGTGGGTGTAAATTTATTAATTTTATTTTGTATATTATCTGACTGCTCTGTCTGCATGTGGAACATGTAGGCTTCTTGTCGAATGGTGACGTGTATAATGAATTGAAACGGATTTGGAAGGAAATGGTTATGGTCTAATCGGTGTACTCTCCCGGTATTTGTTTGGAGGAACTGAATAAAGCCACGAATGAAGTAATTCAGGACAATCTTTGTCTCTGACGATATTCCGACTAAACTCCTACCGAATACAGGTCTGAGATGTTACCGCCACATAACCTGATCAGTGCAAGGTGTACAAAATTATGCTTATGGCTGTACCGAATATATGCTTAATTGTAAGCACAAGTTTTACGTTTCGAATGCATTAACATGTGGAATTATCCCCCCAACTTCTTGCTTTCTATTGTTTGTGTGAACTCCATATATATCATTCTTGTAAATGGGAAGAGTTGAGAGCCGACTGGGCAGTGCGTTTTGCACGGGTACTCTCGGGTCCCGAGAAAATGGAAACCAGAACACACTACAACCATTAAACTGCATTTACATATAGAAGAGGCCGTTAGTCGCTGACTTCCCACCCTGGCGGCCCGGGTTCGGTCCCAGGTCTGGTCAAGTGGGATTTGTGGTGGACAAAGTGGCGCTGGGGCAGGTTTTCTCCTAGTACTTTGATTCCCCCTGCAACTCTTCATTCCACCAATTGCTCCTCAGTCACTCACCTATCATCTGGGGCTGGTACAATAGGCCAGAAGTGGCCACAGTACAAGGGACTTAGTCCCACCCTACTAGCAATAAAACAAAATACATATAGAACTGCCTAGCCGCGCCTGAAATTTGAGATTGTAACGGTGGTATCAAAATTACAGCCTTTTGGTTTTGTGACGGTGGACTGAGATAGCTCAGTCGGTATAGAGAATAGCTAAGTCCTGGACGGCCAAAGTATCGGAGTTCGAGTCCCTGCATGGGACGTCCAGCCCTGCTCTGAGGCCCACCCAACTTCCTATCGAATAGCTACCGTGGACTTTTTCTCCGTGTGTAAAATGGCCGGGGCGTGAAGCTGACCACTCACCTCAAAAATACGTGGATCTATTCGTTCACTCCCCCATACGTCTTCGTGGCATAGTGATTAATTACTTAAGCACAGGAACAACTTTTATCTTTTCCTGGATGTGACGTTTGGAAAATGGATACCGAAGTTCTGAAGGAACCTGCTGCTTCCTTTCCATGAAGATGGAAGCAGAGAGTCCGTGGATACTGATTGTGGTCCAGAGCTCGAATATACTGTCTGAGGTCTGTCGTGGTTTTTCCTCCAGACAAGTTCCTGTGCACTACCAGAACTTACGTCACCCGCCCCCCCCCACACACACACACACGTTACACATACTTTACACAAGGGGATTTACTCGGAAAGGGGGGGGGACTTTTAGCTATTAAAATTTCTAGAATTGGTCCAATTCTTCTTGCATATTTGTCTAAAAGTAAGAGCTCAAAAGCAGCTAAACGGATTGAAGCAGTTCTGTTACAATTGCTCACGCGTTCCGATTTCGTTTCCTGAGAGGTACGAACTGTAACTTTAAGTAATACTTACACGGACGCCAACAGGCAGACGGGACTGAAGAACCCGCGCAATACACAGACGTTAGGGCGCGTGGGAAAGATGGCTAACAGAGGTCAGAGGTGAGGCCCGTCTCCCATGTACCAGCACAGCACACAGTAGCTCACAGCAACAGAGGAATGAACAGAGATGAAGGAAATAAGAACAGAAGCAAGAGATAAAGACAATTTAGGAACCGTAAGATAACCTTGGCAGTTCTACTGCAATAATTCCCTAGTCTTTAATTATATTGAAAACTGTACACTGGGACATAAAATATTCGTGTCTCTTCTATTGTCACTATTTATGAGTGTGTGTGTGTGTGTGTGTGTCTGTAGACAGGGTATGGATTGAAAATTTGATTAAATTCATTAAGCACAAATTGTCCTGTGTAAGTTTTGAGGTTTTCACGGCGATGACTATGAAGAAAGTCGTCTTCTGGGTTTTGGTGCCAATACACGGCGCCAAAACCCAGAAGACAAATTCTGCAAATTGTCCTGTTCTTGCGTCTCTGCCTGATGTCGATGCAACGGTTGAACACGCCACGAATTGACAGTCCTGAGAATGGAAGACTCGAAACCACGAACAGCCTTAATCAGGTTAGTTGATATCTGACCCGAGATTCGAACCAAGCACAAACTAGAACGTTACTGTTAAGCGACCAGGTTTCACACCCATACATAGCTATAAGCACTCACCGCTGTGAGGACTTGCACCAGGTTTTGCAGAACCGCCCAACACTCGACTCGCTTTTGTTGTTGTCTTACCCCTCTGT